CCCCAAAACCCCAAAACCCCAAAACCCCATGATGTAACTTCATTGGATAATTTGGTTATATTAATGATTAAAATGTTGAAATTAATAGTAATTTAATAAGTATATTTTCGTCAAGATTTAACACCAAACTCAAGAAACTATGACCTACCAAGAAATGATTGAGAATGCATTGCTAACTTTGGCTGAGCGCAAGGGTAGCACTCGCTAAGCAATCTGGAAGTGTATCAATGTCAAGTACCCAGAGGCAGACTACAAGCAGTTCCTGATTAGACTCAAGAAAATCAAGCAGCAGGCAATGGACACAGCTTGGAACAAGAAATCAGCGGCTAAGGATGAAGCCCAAAGCACTCAGAAGAATGTCAAGGCTGAAGAAGTTTATAAAACAGTCGGTAGAGAGAGTGGCTCAACTTCAAGCTATGTGGATATTGAGTTTGAGAAAGCATCTCAGAGGTACAAGCTATCCCAAGACTATAGGAGGAGAATGCTCAAAGCTTTGAACAAGCAACAGAGTGGAGGATCTTCTCTATCCAAGAAGAGAGTTCATAAGACCAGTGCAACAAAAAAGTCTGATACTAAGGCTAAACTCAAGGCAAGAAGTAAGAAAGCAAAGGCTGTCAGAAACTCAAAGGCTAAGAGAGCCCTAGGAGGCAAAAATTCTTCAGCCAAGGGTAGAAAGAGAGTTAACTCTGAGCAACTTAAGAGAGATAAGGAAAGGGCTGTTAAGAAGAACATGGGTTCGACTTAGGTCAAGCAGAAGAAGCAGAACAAGAGAGTTCTAAATGACAAGAGATCTGAGATCAACAAGAAGATCAACAAGGAGAAGAGAGAGTCTCAAAAGAGCCAGACTCAAGGCAAGGACAGAGAGTCAGGTAGAAGAACTGTGACTGATCAGGACTTGAATGAGGGCACCTAGTAGTAGAAACAACAATCTCGCTAATCTAGCAAGAAAGACAGCTAGAAAGGTGATCCAAAGGAAGCTCAGATCAAGGGTAAGAAGGGAGGCAAGACTAATCCCAAGTCATCTACTGGAAAGCCTAGTAACAGAGCTAAGCATGAGACATAGATCCCAGAGACTCGCCAGTCCAAGTTGAACTCCTCGATGGCCAACCCCCAGGGAGCCAGTGGCAAGCAGAAGCCAGGAAAATCCAACATCTCAAAGCTGATCAAGAAAGCTAAGCCAGGCAAAGGCAAGCAGCAACCAAGCAACTGATTTGCAAGCTGCAACTACTACCTTGTGTGAGGATCCTTCCTCTAATTTGATGTTATCACTCTCTATTTGCTTGCACCAATTAATCTGGAATCTTCATAATTTTAAGTTTAATTTTAATTGGATAATTATAATTATATCTCATTATGATTTATTATTTTGAATGCTGGGGTTTTGGGGTTTTGGGGTTTTGGGG